ATAAGCCGTTTAAAGTAGTCAAAACTTTCGTACATATGGATAATTATGTGTGCTAATAACCCGATAAATGACCTTTCAAGAGCTAGGTACTCTAATTAAAGTCGCATCTGGCTCTGCCGAAGTATTCTACCCATCATTCTAGTCATCTGTCTTGCGATTTAATCACAAACCCACCCTTCTCTGCTATTGTTTCAGTAACCACTGACTTTTTCTACCCAGTTTCCTTGATGACTGTAAATTACTGTCTGTCGTCACTGCCTTTCCCATCCCTTTAGCTGTCGCCGCTTATCACTACTCGCGGTCATTGGGTATACATTTCACCAGTTTACATTTTAATTGCTTCTACTCAATGTGCCCTGGAGCTTGCAGAAATGTGTTCGTGTGCATCCATTAATTCGAAAGAAGCTGGTGCTACGGTCTTTAACGCTGTTTTTATAGCAGACTGGAGGTGGTGCCAGGCTTCTAGGATAATGATATTGTTAGGTTCCAATTACTGTCTAACCAGTTTCTCGCTCAAAGTATTCTTAATGCTCTCGTTGTCGAACCTCATTAGCAGTGGTCTTGTTGCTGAGGTTTTCCTATGTGCATTTTGATAAACAGACAGATTCTCAAACTAACGCGTAGTTGCTGTCTAAATACATACTCCAAAATGAGTAGCAGTGTCGCATCAACGCTCTCCAGCGAAAACTGTTAGCTTTATGGTCTGTCTGTGTTCACTGACAATGCCTGTCTTTATGTCTGAAGTTCATGTTGGCTAGAAGTAGATGGTCGTCTGAGCACAGCTTTGGTAGGCAATCACCGCTATCTGTTCGTTCGGCTAGGATTCTAAAAATTCCAGCTATATGCTTTTCTGCCTGAATTAACTTACCCACTTGCGCATTGAAATTACATGCTATAACATCCATGTCTAAGTCTTTAGCTTTAAGTAGGAGACTAAACGATTTTCGGTGGAACTCATTCTTGACTTCATCCAAACTGCAGTCAATGGATGTGCAAGCAGAGATCCTAAAGAGACATCGGCGAGTTTCACCACTCGTTTTAGTCTTCACTGTACCATCCAGTTGGACAGCGCACAGGCGAACGTCAACTGGAATCCATTTGCTCAGTACAATTTTTCTACCTTAGTGCTTAGTAGTATACCTACACCTGCAAGACTGCGAGAACTAGCCGTCAAATATCTAGAAACTCCAAGCGTGAATTTTTCAGATCCACCATATTGACCGGATGAGGTTGGGTGAACAACCGCATTTAGGTCATGTATGCGTGTCTCATAAACGAACCACAGATCCATGGTCCGAGTTGCTAGAGGCTTGACTATTAACGCATATTGGCCGACTTGTTGCAGGAACCGGACATTGGAAGCTGCAATGTGTAGTTTGGAGGGCAGTTTCAGAAGATCACAGGTGATATTCTGTGAACTCGGATCGTTGTCGAAAGCAGCAGACCTGGTAGGAATTAAAGATGGTTTAAGAATGTTAACCGAGAGACGCGAAAAAAAATCAAAAGGTAAGGATGCGGAAGGTGGACAGTAGTCTGAGGGAACTTGATTACTGACAGGTATGAAGGTTTTCGATACCGGCTGCGCACACTGTGAAAAGCTAGTAAGAGAAGGGCTAGT